CGACTCCAGTAAGGTTCCAGAGAGGGAAAATCACGACCGGACGTGTCCGGTCACACTATAAACATTGGAGTTCGGGGTATACTGACCGGAGCGTTCGGTCACCCCGTAGAGGCACATAATGGTTCGTTTTTTAGCCCATGTTATAAATACTTCCTCCACTCATGTGTGGGGGTACTTTTGCTCATTCCAACAGCTGAGAAACACCTTAGAGAGTGTCAAGAAGAGCAAGGTCCTAGTGAGGTGATTGAGATTTGAGAATCCCAAAGAGAGCCCTCATTAGCAAGATCAAGAGTAGCAAAGTGCACATCCACCCTTCCCCCTAGGCTTGTTGTGGTCAAGTGAGAGTTCGTGCTTGTTACTCTTGATGATCACCATCACCTAGATGGCTTGGTGGTGATTGGGAGCTTGGTGATCATCTAGAGAGCTTGTGGATGACCCAACTCAAGTTGTGAGCGGTTGTGGGTGATTCACCGCGACGGAGTGTCGAAGAATCATCCCATAGAGAGCACTTGATCCTTGCGCGGATCAAGGGGGAGCTATACCCTTGCACGAGTGCTCCAACGAGGACTAGTGGGGAGTGGCGACTCTCCGATACCTCGGCAAAATATCGCCGCGTTGCCTCTCCTCTCTTTACTTTGAGCATTTACTTTGAGTATTTACTTTGAGTAATTACTTTGAGCATTTACATTGAGCAATTTAATTCTTGTTTTTACATTCATAGAATTGCCATGCTAGAGTAGGATTAGAACTTAGGTTGCAAGTCTTTTGTGCGGTAGAACAACTAGAAACACTCTCTAGGCACAAGGGGTTAATTGGGCTAACCATAGGACTTAATTATTGCAAAGAAATTTAGAATTAGCCTAATTCACCCCCCCTGTTGGGCATCTTGATCCTTTCAATTGGTATTGGAGCCTCGTGCTCACATATTTAGGCTTAACCGCCTAGTGAAAGATGTCTCACGGAGATGGACCTCCTCCTATCTTTGAGGGGGACGATTTTCCTTATTGGAAAATTCGTATGGAGGCGTACTTAGAAGCTCTAGATGTTGGAATACTTAGAGCCGCCTCTCAAGGCTTCCTAAGACCTAAGGATGCCACACACCCACAAGGCGATGAGTTAAATTATGAAAAATGGAATGCAAAGGCTAGAAACACCATATTTAGAGGCATTTGTAAAGATGTGTTCAACCGGGTGAGGAACCACAAAGACGCCCATGCACTATGGTAGTCGTCGCGGTGTGGAGGGTGGTCAGAGCGTGGAACCCTTGCTGCTTCTTCGATGATTATCTTTTTAGCATCATCGGCATCCGCATATTTTTTAGTAGTGGCTAGGAGTGCTGTGACCGATTCAGGTCTCTTGCGGAGGAGCTTGTCCCTTAGGGCATCATGGAAGCGGAGACCAGTGATGAAAGCCTCGATTGCCTCGTTGTCGGAGATTGACGGGACCTTGATGCGCATCTCCGAGAAGCGTCGTACTTACTCGCGCAGTGGCTCATCTTTGTGATCTCGAATCCGCTGTAGATCATATTTGTTGCCGGGTTGCTCGCAAGTAGCAATGAAGTTGTCGATGAATGCTTGCTTGAGCTCTTGCCAAGAATCAAAGTAGTTCGTCGACAAGCTGACCAGCCATTGGTGCAAGGCCGACGGCGACTGAGAAGTAATTAGACATGACGTGCTCGTCAGCCATGGCTGATCTGCACACGGTTTCGTAGAGCATGACCTATAATTCGGGGTTCTCCTTGCCGTCGTACTTCTGAAGTTTTTCGAGCTTGAAGTTCTTGGGCCATATGACTTGGAGAAGGTGTGGAGTAAACTGCTTCAAACCCGAAAGGGCCATGGGTAGTATCATATTCCATACGGCGATAGCTTTCGTGGGATGCACGATCGTTGGCTCTTTGGTTAATGCGATCGCGCAGATCGTGTTCTCCGAGGGAATGGCGGAGATCGTTATTGCCATCACGGTGACCCCGATTGCCACCCTGGTTAACCCTGCGACTGTGGTTATCACGGCGATTGTCGCAGTTGTCTCAGCGGTTGTCATCCCGGTAGTTGCACGGTTGTCGTCCCGACCACCATCATGACCACCGTTTCTGCCTTAACGATTGTCTGATGGGTCGTTGTTGCGCGAGCCATGTTGGTTGGGTGGCTGTGAGCGACTTGAGTACTGGCGGCTGTAGCTTGATTCGACTGAGACAGATGGAGCCCGGGCTTGATTCACAATCTCTGCGGTCTGGGCCATAGCAGCTGTCAGGTAAGCTTGTATATCATCTCGAACTGCTTGGATTTCTAGGGTATTGGGTAGTCGTTGCATTGTTGCCATAGCAACAGCTACGTTGGCGCTTGGAGTCCTGAAGACCTACTTGTCCCCCACCTTGTCAAAGGCATTGTTAAGGTCGCGTGGCTGGACCCATATGCGTCGTGCCTCCTCTTCCGCCTTTGCTTTGACTTGTCGGCGATTAAACCGATCAATATTGCGTGCTTCGCGTGCCAGCCTTTCTTGTTCTGTTTCGCCAACTACCGGTGGTTCGTCATTACTGACAACATTGATCAAGTCTCCTCGTCTTGGTGGGAAGGATGGAAATCGTGGGAACTCTGGGGCGTGGTCTGGGATATCCAGATCGTATTCAATGCCCTCATTGTCATGATGCTGGAGCTCGGTGTGGATGGAGCCATTAGATGCGGTGTTGGACGGGGAGCTTGAGCCACCCTCTTGAACTATGTGGACCGATCCTTCTTGGTACTCCTCAATCCAGACCATGTTGACGAAGTTGCGTGGTTTTGGCCAAGATCGTTGCATATCGCACGCATAGTTGGAAGCAGAGTTTCGCAGGCCGTAGGGCTGAGCCTGGTAGTTCTCCATCGAGGCTTCATACTCAGAGATCCGGAGACCCGTCACGGGGGCTGGACGGCGATGAACGGAGCACCCTTCAGGAGTAGATGTGACCACGAGATCAGTACCGAGTCGTGCAGGACGACTAGCCCGAGCTGGTCGGGTAGATCTGTTGTGGGTAATGGTTACCTGCTCATTAGGTTGACTTTGAATCGAACTTACTAGAGCTAGTGTTTCGGCAAGTTTGGTGCCGACCCGATCGATGGAGTCGAGCAGGTCGAAGTTGTCGATCTGCCTCCCTTTGTAGCGAAGAAGCGGGCGACGGGTTATCGGCGTGGCTGAAGACGATGCTGGCGTGGCCGGAGCCAGATCCACCATGGTCGGAGCCGTAGCCAATGCAGATGAAGCAGTGATCGACGCAGATTGAATCCGCGCCTCCTCCGTGGTCATGGCGATGAAGTCGTCGAAGCCAGTGGTCTAGGTGATCTGGTCGATGATGAACGTGAGGCCGTTCGGTGTAGCCATGGAACCGGGGATGGTGACCATCTTGTTCGTCTAGAGAGGAGTACGCACACCCCCTACCTGGTGCGCCACTGTCGACGAAATATGGTCGGCAGTCTACCTAGGGGTATGCCCAAGGTAGTAGATTATCGGCAGACAGATGCGCAAGCTACAAACAAGATGGTGACACAAGATAGACACGAGGTTTTATCCAGGTTCGGTCGCTGGGATGGCATAATACCTACGTCATGCGCCTGATTGTATTGTTGTATGTCAATGAGAGATGTTTTTGAGAGGGGTCCCTTGCCCGCCTTATATAGTCTGGGGGGCAGGGTTACAGATCTAGAAAGTAATCCTAACCAGTTACAATTGCCATAGGTGGCCGGATAAGGATTTCTATTCTAATCGACTAGGATCTTGCTTGATCTCCAAATCTGCCTTGATTCCTTGCACGAGACTTCGAACAGATTGACCGGGCCATGCGTAGTCTTCTAGTGGGCCAAACCCCCTGTTTCGGACCGGCCCAAGCCTAGCCGTAAGGGTATAGGGGTTAATACCCCCACAGTTGACGAAGTGGATTCGCCGATCAGGCCGACGACACGCCGAGTCCCGGCGAGTTCCCCCACCCCGAGGTCGTCTCCGTCCCGCCTCAGGAGCAGAACGGCGACGCACGCCCCGCCCCGCCTCAGGAGCATTACGGTGACGCCACCACCCGCCACGCCACCGCCGCCAGCCTCCCCGACTCCGCCGCCTCCAAGGTAAACCCTCCCGGTGCTCTCTCCTCCTCCTCCCACCTCCTCCGTTGGCTGACGAAGTGGATTCGCCGATCCGGCCGATGACACGCTGAGGCCCGTGAGTTCCCCCACCCCGAGGTCATCTCCGTCCCGCCTCAGGAGCAGAACGGCGATGCACGCCCCACCCCGCCTCAGGAGCAGAATGGCGACGACGCCACCGACCGCGACGCCACCGCCAGCCTCCCTGACTCCGACGCCTCCAAGGTAAACCCTCCCGACCAACGATGGATCCAGAAAATATCTTAGGGGGGCTGAACAACACTGTTGCTCGATTTACGTCTCAGCCCCCCAACACTATAGAACTTTGCCTAAAAATTCATAGGGGCTCCACAGGTGTTCCACTACTCCGGTATGGGTAGGGGGATAGAACTTTGCCTAAAAATTCATAGGGGCTCCACAGGGGTTCCACTGCTCCGGTATGGGTAGGGGGGCTTGAGGCCCCCCGCGCTGTGTCCGCCCCTGCTCCTGACCTCCTCCGTTGGCTGACGAAGTAGCATTCGCCGATGGGGCATTGCTGCAGCTGGGGAAGGAGATCCCGGACAAGCTCGCCCGCGGCGCGGTTGGGTGCATCATCTGCCGCAACATGGTGCGGTGGTCGGCGCCCGCCTACGCGCCACAAGCAGCAGAGCTCGCCTCCCCGTACTGGCACTGCCCGGGTGCCAGCTCGTCTACACCACCCCACCAACGCTCGCTGGCCTGCACGCTGCCAATTCCGTGCCCGAGCTGCGCGGCACTACCCGCCGCTACTCAATCGGCGCCGGCGGGCTGCGGTCGAAGCGCGGCGACACCAACCTTCCGGCCGCCGCCAGCCCCCCTGATTCCGCCTCCAAGGTAAACACTCGCGCTCACATTCTCCTCCCACTTCCCCACAACTTGATGTCGATTGGTCTTGCAATTTCTCGTGGTAATTCGTGTGGGCTCTCTGCTTTCGATCAGGAGCTGCCAGACTCCAAGGACCCCGACACTCCAAAAACATTCTCTACGTTGCCACAGCTGGCGCAGGAGATCCAGGACAAGCTCACCCGTGGCGCGGTGGAATGCATGATCTGCTACGACGTGGTGCGGCGATCGGCGCCCGTCTGGTCTTGCGGCAGCTGCTTCTCCATATTTCACCTCCCCTACAAACGCAAGTGGGTGCGCTCCCCGGCCTCCACCGGCGACGCGTCCCAAGCAGGAGACCACGCCTCCCCATGCTGGCGCTGCCCGGGGTGTCAGTTCGTCTATGCCACCCCCGCCCATGACCTTACCTACACCTGCTTCTGCGGGCGCCGGAGGGATCCCCCCAACGACCACTTCCTCATGCCCCACTCCTGCAGCGAGCCCTGCTCCAGGCCTCTTGAGAAGGCGGAACCGCCGGGTGCCAAGGGGGAGGATGCTGACACCACCAGGTGCCCGCACGTCTGCGTCCTTCAGTGCCACCCGGGCCTAGGCCCATGCCCGCCCTGCAAAGCATTCGCTCCGGATCGGCCCTGCCCCTGCGGGAAGCAGATCATCATGCGTGCGGCTGTGCGCGGACCGGAGCACGCCTATCGCCTATGGCATACCTTGCGAACAGATGCTGCCCTGCAAAAGGCATCGCTGTGAGAAGGTTTGCCACACTAGTTCGTGCGGGGATTGCGCTGTCGTCATCTCTGCTCGCTGCTTCTACACCAAGAAGAATGAGAAGCTGCTATGTCGAGAATGGGTGGTAATGGGGAAGCTGTCCGAGGAGCACGGCCTATTTTCTTGCAGTGAGATGTGTGGCCGCACACTTGCCTATGGCAATCATGCCTGCAAGCATATTTGCCACCTAGGGTCTTGTGGGGAGTGCGAGCTCATGCCGGGGAAGGTGGCAAGACAAGGCTGCAGGAGAAGAGGGAAAGCTGCTTGGACGCAATCCCCAACTGCAACAAGATAGGTGCAAGGTCAGTTTCCATGATGGAGAATGCCCGCCTTGCTTGGTGCGCGTTGAGCAGAAGTGCCGTTGTGGCTCATCAGGCCAGAAGTGCCATTGCTGTTACACTGTGTCAGTGGAAGAGTTTCGCTGCAACAAGCCTTATGGCCGCAAGAAGAATTGTGGGAGGCATTGGTGCAGTGAGCTCTATTGTCCACTGTCTATAAAATCTACAGAGCTTGAAGGTGGCGACTGGGATCCCCATCTCTACCAGATATCATGTGGCAAGAAGCTCCTATGTGGGTAGGATGCATGCCAGCTACTCTGCCACAGTGGTCATTGCCCACCCTGCTTGGAAACTATATCCACTGATCTCCCTTGGGATTGCTAATTGTTAGCAATATTGTCAGGGTTTATCTGATGATTCATTGTTTCTGCTTAGATTATACTTGTGCTCTTTGACCCTGGGAATGGCAATGATTTTGTACAAGGTGATGTAATTGTATTTCCACATAAGAAGCTCTACAGGTATGGGTCACTTTAAGGCCTGTTTGATACCACCCCTAAACTTTAGTGAACTAAACCGAACTTTCTTTCTATAGGTCTTTGGATATATCTGAAGCAGGGGCGGATCCAACCGGGTGGGGGGGGGCTCAAGCCCCCCTACCCTGCCTTGTGGATTGTGGAACACCAGCACCATCTTGTTTGCATCAGTGCTTAGTTCCCCAGCCTTGCGGACATCCAGCACCGCCTCGGCCCCGCCCAAAGCCAGGTATTCCCCAGCCCTTGCGGACATCCGGCCCCGCCCCTCGGCCTCCATGTACATTTTTTTCTTCAGATTGATTTGTTGCTGTTGATGCATAGGGGCCGATGCACGTGTTCGTGTGTTATGGCGCAGTGGAGACATGGCCCCCTACTGGCCCAATCGTTTCTGAGGATTCGCTCCCCGATTTGCTTGCTCGCTCTATCAAATCCAGGGAGATGACCCATACGGTCTGTTCCTTTCCCCGCCACCTCCCTTGCCTTGCGATTGCTAATTGTTAGCAATATTATCAGGGTTTATCTGATGATTCATTGTTTCTGCTTAGATTATACTTGCGCTCTTTGACCCTGGGAATGGCAATGATTTCGTACAAGGTGATGTAATTGTATTTCCACATAAGAAGCTCTACAGGTATGGGTCACTTTAAGGCCTGTTTGATACCACCCCTAAACTTTAGTGAACTAAACCGAACTTTCTTTCTATAGGTCTTTGGATATATCTGAAGCAGGGGCGGATCCAACCGGGGGGCGGGGTGGGGGGGGCTCGAGCCCCCTACCCATACCGAAGCAGTGGAACCTCTGTGGAGCCCCCATAAATTTTTAGACAAAGTTCTATAGTGTAGCCTCCATGTGTTGTTCAGCCCTCCCTAAAATTATTCCTAGATCCGCCACTGATCTAAAGTGGATAGGTTTGTGGACAGAGTAATTCTGAGCGGTCATACCTAGGATGGGTTCGAGGAGACACTGATGCGTTCTTATGCGTTCTAATGCACAATATTCTTTCTTATAATTAGAGATTATTAGTAGAGATCAGACCAAGTTGGTCCAACAGATGGAGTGGACCCACATGCCATTTGTAGTTTTGTTTGCTCTCATCCACTCATTTCTTGTCTTTTTTAATGCCTCGTTTCTTATCCTCTCATGTCAGAGGTTGCTGGTCCTTTCTTGCATCTCTCTTACCTTGATCCTCTTATGCGTTAGTGACGGCTGCTGTCTGTGAGCCGTGGCCGTGGCCACTGTTCCTCCTGGCTTGTCCGTGAGCGACGTGGCGGCGGCGGCAATGACGCTGTACAACCAAGCGCGGGAAGGAGCTGCTGGCGCGTAGCGGTCTGCCGTTGGCTCCGGATGCGATTGGGGAAGAAGATGCAAGCAAATAAGGTACTGCTAATGAGGCTTCTCAATTGCTATTAGCAAGGTCGTAAGTCCATCCTTCAGGTGCAGGAAATTTTCCAACGAACCGAGGTGGATGTTTTATTTCCTCCACTTTGCACAGGAAAGGAAACCTTTCCAGAGGAAAGGGATGATGGATTCCTTCGTTCCAGATACAAGGTGACGTAAGCAAAATGAAGGATCTCGTTTCTTTGAAAATCCTATGAAAAAAAACTCCAATCCGAACAGGCCCTAAACGCGTGCGTAGTTCACTGTTCATCCGCGTCTCCCCTGACTCAGCCCTTGTTTAGTTCGCGAAAAGTTTTCTGAAAAAGTGCTACAGTATCCATCACATCGAATCTTGCGATACGTGCATGGAGCATTAAATGTAGATGAAAAAAAACTAATTGTACAGTTTTGTTGGAAATTGCGAGACAAACGTTTTAAACCTAATTAGTTCATGATTGAACACTAATTGTCAAATAAAAATAAAAGTATTACCGTAGCTAAAATTCTAACTTTTTACGAGACTAAACGAGGGCTCAAAACCCTGTAGATCCTTCTGTTTCTCCACGCCTTCCCGTTAGATGTCTGTCACGCGGTCAGACTTCCAGAACCAACTACGCACCACGTCAGCGGCCAACCTTATCCCTTCCGCCTCCCTGTGCAGCGACCGCAAAACAAAAATTTCCCTCGGCCGTGGCACAGGCCTCCCGTGCTCGGTGCTCCTCTCCTCGCTTCTACGTTGCCTCCTCGCCGCGTGGGGCTCAGCTCAAACTCCGCAGCGGCGGCACCCTGCCTACGCCCTCATCGCAGTCCCCTCGAGTCGTACGAGATGGACACGGTTGACGGTATGGCCAGCCCCTCAACTCCATCCGTCCAGTAGGTGACGTGACCCCCGTCTCCCTACCTCCCTCCCTCCAGTCCACCATTCTTGCTTCTCTCCGTCTCATACTCTCTTCTACTGATTTCCTGGTGCTGCTCTGCAGTATCCGTTGAGGCGGAATCTGATTGCCTTTCAGGCTCAATGATATGAATGCTACTTCCCGATTCTGCGAAAATAATAGACAGGCAACAGTTCTGCTCAGGGAGGTGAGATCTGATTTTACTGGGCCAATTTTTGTTTCACTGAGTCCTTATACATTAGCATGATCAACGTTTTGCAATGCATAGTATACAGAGCCATCATTTATCTGATTACCATTTCTCAGGTTTTGTTGCCTCAATGGACCAGCAAACAAACCAGGATATTAACCATTAGATATGTATTTGTTGCCAATTTTTTTAATCCCCCATCTTAATACATAGGCACTGCTTATTGTTACTGTCCTTGCAATGTGTACCATATTATGTTTTGATCAGGATGGGAATCTGAAATCATGGTACTAAAATAGAGATCATCTTGAATCACTGCTATTTTTTAAAGAATTGCAGGACCACACGACAGACATATAGTTGCAAAGGCAGTTCACATTGCATTGATTCTCACCTTGCATCCAGCATGGCGACCCATCTCCTCATCCTTCCCAACAAACTTCAGCTACTCAACTCCATTTCCATCTCAACTCTGTCTGGCCATTTTCCCTTATCTCTATGTATGTTCATATCTCCCTATGTTCACTTATGGTTTGGCCAGTTTAGTGCCTAGGTAGCCCAGGACGTCAAGATATCTGCATTTGACATTCCTTTCTTTGTTATGGACTCCACACTGATTTGTTTTTCATTGCCCTAGTACAACTTTAGTTTGATTTGATTTGATTGATTTTTTTTAAGAGTGCCTGCACAATTATAGATGCCCATACCAGGGTGAACTGAGACCTAGCATCAATGTCTATACAAGGTTACTATTTTTCCCATCTTATATGGCCACCCCGAGAAAAAATGTGCCCTCTAACTGAACACTGGAGCAGTTTGTTTTTGCAGGCAGTAGCTCTAACAGATTGTCATCTGTTCCCGCTAATATTGTTATCCATACTTCTAGACTAATTGGTAAATCTCAAAGTATGAACCTAGCTACATTCTTCCTCTGCATGATTCGAACAGAAGAATGGAGTTTGCAGAAATAAGTTCATATGCACATTGCACAGAAAAATATTAAAGACTTCAGTAACTGCACATTTTTAGGTCCTGTGACCTGCATATGATTGCATCTAGAGGCACTTGGTGGCTGATTTGCTGCGGTTTTCTTGTTATTCTTGGAGCTTTGCCGAGCTCCTAGATGGCATTGGTGCAGCGAAGGCGTGTTGGCTCGAGTGGAGATTGTTCGAGGCCACATCGATCATCGTTGTGAGGGGTTCTTGGGCTTATTCCCCGGCGGAGCGCCAAAAGCACCTCTAATACATTGCGCGTGTCATTGAGCTACCTCACTAGTGGTAGATTCTTGTGGTGCCTTTGAGAGGCTCGATGTGATACCGATTAGCCACCGAATCACCTAGTGTTGGTCGACACAACGAGGAGTAGCGTGTCGGCGAAAGCACGTGAACCTCGGGAGAAAAATCCTTGTGTCACAGTCTCCCTTGGTGATTGGTTTTATTGCTCATCTTCTAGTGCTTGCGTCGGTGGTGGTAACGAACTCTAACTCCTTGTCATTACCTTTGTTCATACTTGCTATATTGCTAGAGTAGATAGTAATTTAATCATCGTTATCATATAGACTATCTAGTTGTTTATCATCTAGCTTCCTTGATCATCTAGTTTAGACAAGCAACCTAGATAGCTTGAGTGCTCTAGAGATCATAGCTTACTAGAATTGTTTAATAGGTGGCTTGCTCAACATTTAGAGCTAGAGCAAACGCGTTTACGCCTTTTGTCATACTAACCACTTGCTCTAGTGTATTTGTAGAATTTTTATTAGGCTATTCACCCCCTCTAGCCATTTATGACCTTTCAAGTGGTATCTGAGCCGTGGTCATCGTTTGATTGAAGGCTTAACAACCTCGGTGTCACAAAATGGCTCAAATTGTGTTCAACCATGTTGGGGGCAAACCACCACACTTTGATGGCACATCTTTTGATTATTGGAAGAGGAAGATGAAAATGTATTTGGGTTCAATCAATGACAAGGTGTGGGATGTGACGGAGAATGGTTTTGTAATTCTTGATCCCACCAATCCAACACCTAGAGAGCAAGAGAACAAGCAATGCAATATAATGGCACTCAACACAATCTATAATGACATTGATTCAAAGGTGTTTGAGCAAATAAAAGATCTTGACATGGCACATGAAGTTTGGACAAGATTGGAGGAAACATATGAAGGAACACCTCAAGTCAAGAGTGCAAAATTGTACATCCTCAAGGACAAGTTAACTAGCTTCAAGATGAAGGAAGATGAGAGCATCCCGAAGATGTTCTATAGGCTACAAGTAATAGTGAATGATCTCAAGGCATTGGGAGATAAGATAAATGATGATGATTTCTCACATCGATTTTTGATGTGCCTCCCACCAAGATTTGAAACTTTGAGGCTCATTATAATTAGAGGAGGATTGAAGGACATAGCCCCTAACTAAGTATTAGGTGATGTCATGACTCAAGAGACATACCGTGTGGAAAGGGAGGGGGTTGATCAAGATGAGAAGAAGGAAGAGAAGGAAGACAAGAAGAAGAGCATTGCTTTCAAGGCTAGTGGTTCATCCAAGGGCAAAGGAAAGGCCAAGATTGAAGAATCAACAAGTGATAGTGATGAAGACTCTAGTGACCTTGATGATGAGACCATGGCTTTGTTTGTGAGAAAATTTGGCAAGTTCATGAAGAAGAAAGGCTATGGCTCAAGGAAGAGAAGGGACAACTTCAAGAGCAAAGGCTTTGTAAGGAAGTGCTTCAAGTGCAAGAGTGAGGACCACCTCCTAGCCGATTGTCCTTACAATGACAATGATGATGATGATGCAAAGAAGAAGAAGAAGAACTATAAGGACAAGAAGGAAAAGAATGAGAAGAAGGTCACATTCAAAAAGAAAGGTGATTCATATGTGGCCACTTGGGATAGTGATGCTACCTCAAGTGATGAAGATGATGATGATTACAAGAGCAAGAAGAAGGGGCATGCTAGTATTGCTATCTCCAACAAGCCCTCCATCTTCGACCATCCATCATGCTTCATGGCTAAGTCCACCAAGATATCATCTTCTAGTAGTGATGATGTGGAGCCCTCCAAGGAGGTTAGTTTATGAAAACCTTAGGGGGCTCAGTACAAAATTCTTGTCCTATATGGTTACCATTATTATGTGGGTCTCTAATATTTGTCCAGTGTTATTTCTTTATTTTTCATCCTTATAGCTTCATGATCAATGTGTTATCCTTTACAGCTCAATTTAAAGTATGAAGATAACTTGCAAATAAATATTTTGCATATGATGGTGAGAAGAGTCTGTTCCTGAGTTAAAAATGAGTTCACTATCATGTTTGAAGACGTTTCAACTAGAAAGTAAGTCTCATTTATTTTAATTGATTTGTCATGATCTACTCTGATGATAATTTCAAGTTACTGTTTGGTTTACACAATTAGTTATCTATCTCCTATTTCCTTATGTTTTAGCACCAAGCTGATTTGTGTCTAATTATAGAGATGCCGTTAGCTTAAGTTAGTTTAATTAGGTGTTAAAAATGAGTTGGAACAAATCATCGAGGTATCTTTTCTTAGCAACTTTAGGCATATCAAAGATTGAATCTTTTCTTTTAGGTGTCTCGGTGGGGGTTGTACCGACGGCTTCTAAATTAGCAACTTATTAGTTAGCTAAAGAGCAAGATACACATCAAACCAACGTGAGTGTTTTAAGTGCCACACATTAAGGCAGTCATCTCATCCACACATTAAACCACACAAGCAGTCATCTCATCTAGAAAACTAGTTCAGGCCATCAAGTTAACAATTACACATTAAACCATACACGCAGTCATCTCATCCGGAAAGTTCAGCCCATCAAGTTAACAATTATAGGTCTTCTAGAACATCACTGCAGGTCTTTGGGAACTTGGAGGTGTTTTTTCCATGGAAGAGAAGGTAGTCCAGGACTGCAGTATCGTATCCCTCCAAGCAGGGCTCGAAGGGAAGACCAGTAAAGCACTCCATAAAATGCAATGCCAGTAAACCAATTTTATGGGGAGTATCAGTCAGGTCTTCTGCATAGTCAGGACATTCAACAGTCCTTTCAACAAATCTTTGTTTCTTTGTATATCTTTCGTATATAGCTGTCTGTAGTGCCATCATAATAGATTTGCGCTGGCCTTGCCTCGTTTCAGCACAATGTTCTCGTTCTCTGAAGCTCACGGCATTTGAAACACGATTACTTGCACAGTAGACAATCCAATCATTTCCATGCAATACTGGTAAGAAGATCTGGAAAAAAAATATCATGCATTGAAAGATATAGGGAAAATCAAAGGGTTTACTTAAGTTTTAAATGGACTGATTTTACCATATCAAATGATGACCAAAATGATGCAGGCAGCGTCTTGGCAATATTTTCCTTAAATTTCTCTGGGTTCTTTTCCTGGTGCAAAACAAACAGCAAGTTTTTTTGAACCGAAACCGTGGGGCAAAGCCCCCCGGCAACAAACTTATAATAACTATAGAGTTAAAGAATACTTACATAATCCTGCGGTGCTAAAAATATCCTGGCTTTTTTACCATTTTCCTCATCATACATCAGGCATTCAGTGAATGCCTGTAGGATATAACTGCTGAGCACACCACCAGAGATGAATTCAGCCATGGAAGCTGTTGTTATGGATATTCCTCCAATAGATATCATCTCATGTTTGTCATTTACAATACGTGGAGTATTAGATGCACAAAAAAATAAGTCTTGCTGCTTGTATTAGATATAGTAATTGCATAAAACAAATACAAGGAGTATTAGAAGCTAATACTTCTTGTACTTCTCCGAGGAAACGAGATCATACAGCTTTGATCTTATCTTTTCAGACGCCTTTGTGTATCTAGCCACTTTTAGAGTTGATATCGCTTTTCCTCTTGTCCTTTTAGCCGACTTTTCAAAGTCACTTACTTTTTCAGCCTTCCTCTTGTGCGAAGTATCTTCTGCCCTAGAGGAGGATTCGGAAGTGAATTCTTGTTGTTCAGGGACAGTTGGCACAGCTTCCCCTTGTACACTTTCCAGGGCAGACCCGATAGTTGGCACAGCTTCTCCTTGTACACTTTCCAGGGCAGACCTGGAGACTACCAGGGAAGAGGAATCACCAGCTGCCATGCCTACATTTGGGCGCACCCTATTTGCTTTGTTGTAGATTAGGTCAACTGCAGTTTTCTGCCGGTACATACAAACCATTTCCTGTATTTTAAGGCAAACAATAAGTATTTCTGGGATTTGCAAAAAATAAAAGATACATCAAGCAAGCACTAACCTTATCATGACCATATATGTCCTTTCTTTCAAAACCATCAATGTACATGAGCACATGGATCCCGCAATCAAAACTGCAACAATAATTAGCATATTGGCATTGGCATATTGGCATTCATGATAGCGTTTTGTAACACAGCATATTGGCATTGCAATCTCTACTGCTAAAAAAATGTCAAACGGACCCGTCTACTGCCCGTGGTGAAGCCGCAGCGGATGGCACCCCAGCGCTTCTATTTGCACTGACATGTGGGCCAGCTGCTCAGTCGCACGTCACCGCCTCGCCTCACGCTCCCTCTAGCCTTACGTGTCCGCCGCCGCACACCCCTCGCTCCTTGCCGTCACGCCGCCGCACCGCCTAGCCACCATCCCGCCCAACCCCGCCCCTCCTCACCTCGCCTGGACACCCCCTGCTCCGCCACCAATGCGGCGACGCCTCGCTGCGCCGCCTGGCAACCGCCCCCCAGACCCCTTCTCTTTCCTGCCTCGCCCGACTGCTACACCATGCCGCCTCGCTCAGCATCGCTCCGTCCGGCATAGCTCAGTTAAATGTGCTTGCACTTCGGTTAGATCATACCAGAGTTGTAGACGTGCGTCTGCGTTTATGGTTTTTGTGGGCATCCTTTATGTGATCAAGTGGTCTCAAATGGCTGCTAGTGAAGCTTTCTATATTGTACTTAGGCTGGATATGGGGTGGCTGATGAGCAACTTATACTAATTCTAGGATATTGTTCTATTGTTCCTTAAAACTAAAAACAAAATTATATTCATGAGAAGCTTCATAGCATGGAAAATTATAGGTAAAAGAGGTGACTGCAAAAAAATTGTGATATTATACTAGTAAAAGATAATGGAGAAGTACAAGACTTACTCGTGCTCTTGAACTGCAAGACCACGCATGAATGACAAAGGCCACAAAGATGTCTGTACACCCATCTCCAGCAAACAACCGCACGCTGCTTCAAACACACCCATTGCGCAATAGTATACACTGCGACGTGGGTTGGAGTTCAGTACCCAACCACATTTTCCCTCAATGTCTATCACCAGCAGGAACCAGTGATTCTGATCTGGATCTTGGATAGGCACAAAAACCTGACTGGTGCCCTCTATGCTTCCATCAAGTTCTTTCTTCAGAATGTCAGACAGATTTAGTTCCAAAGTGTTCCCATTCCCTTCTGAAACAATAATATATGGCTTCTTCTCAGCCTTCCATTCAAATTTCCACAACATAAACTGAGCGGACATTACAGAGGAATCCATATATCCTGTTGGCTTGAAGCATTTGACAAAAACATCTTCAGCAACTGAATGATCATGAAAGTCAAGTATAGCATGTTGTCCCGACGAATCAAGCTTTTGCAGAACATGCTGAGAGTACAAACTTTTCACTCCAATTTGGTCCGCTCTACTGTTGCATCCCTCTAGCAAAGATCCATCTAGCAAAGATCCAATTTCAGCATCTAATTGTGTTCCTCTAGGCACATGCACACGTGCCTTAGCAAGAGCAGCTGTTTTCCGTTGACTCCTGTCAACAGGTATGGCTTCAGCGACATCAGCTGCCTTCAGCTGCAACAGGCTTTCATAATAGGTGCGCGACCTGCTCTTTAACTGAAAAAGTGAACAAACCTGTTACATCTTGGACAAAGAAATGATGCCTCTAATGAAATCTAGTTGTTACTTACTGGAAGTTCGGCATAGTCAGATGATGACTTAGCTTTACACTTGTTTGCAATTTCCATCAGTTCCTTTTTTTTTGTATTTGTTGATGCGAGGAGGGAGCAAGTCCTTCCCTTTGAACTTCGGATAGTCCACACTATCTAAGTAATACACCTGTCAAGCATAATTTAGTGTTAAGACAAACACAGTTGTAATAAGGAAAAAAAGAACAATCGAGACAAGGTTGAGTCTGTCATACCATTGGGACCATACAGCACCCATGGAGAGTCCTTGTTGGTCGTGTCCTCCTCGGCTTCTTTGGCGGAGGCTTGTCTTTCTCGGCATGCCATCTCAACACAGCTTCCCTCAAATCTTCATAGACTATTTTGGACCAGTCGAACTTAGTAATCAAGTCCATATTTCTGGTGAGCATGACGGCCTCTTTATTGAGGGTGCTGCTAGTGCATGGCATCAGATAGGAGTCTATCACTGTCATGAAGAATAATCTTAATTTGAGCTCGCTCTCTTCCTCGGTGAGCACCCTGTTTTTCTCTTCCTCGATGTCAGACAGCTTTTTAAGCTTCTCAAGAATATGTTGGATGGTAAGATCTTTCTTTCCTTCTTTTTCTTGCCACCCTCCCCATCTTCACCATCCTGGTCACCATCTTTCTCATCTTCCACATCATCTTCTTCATTGTCAATGGCCTGATATGAGGATGTCCTGGTCAGAAGATGAGCACTTGGTTGCATACTTTGACAAGTGTTTTGAGCCCCCCTTGATAGTACGGCTTTTCCTAAACTCAAATTCAAATTATAAGAGAAATTAAACATCCTTTGAGTCGGAAACCGTCACCATTCGTAATTGGGGCCGCCTCCGTTTTGTATAACATCCTCCTTTTGTCATTTCCTGCTTGTCATCTCGATAAATCTCATTAGTCCTTTAATTCGGTGGTCATCAACGCCAAAACCCACATTAGGGCTTGATTGCACTTACAATTATTAGTTCATTGTCCTTAATTATGTAGTACTTACTATACTCAAGTAAGTACAATAACAATCCAGCTACGGTACATAGATATAGAGAGAGAGAGAGTAGTAGGCAGCAGGCAGACACAAGCCAATACAGTAACACATACAGGTTCATCAGCTTCTTGATGCTGTCTCACCTAGTGTTACACCTGAGATGAATGACATCCTTTCAGCCAAGTTTACACCAGAGGAGGTCCAGGCAGCGCTGGATGCTATCGGCGACTTAAAAGCACCAGGTCCTAATGGCATGCCGGCGATTTTCTTCAAGAGGTAATGGGATGTTGTTGGAGATCAACTTACAGAAGAAGTTCTGAATGTTTTGAGAGGTGGCTAAATGCCCGAGGGTTGGAATGACACTATCATATCTTTGATTCTGCCTGAGAAGGTAACTGAATTGAGACCTATAAGTTTGTGTAATGTGGTGTATAAGGTGGTGTCAAAGGTTCTTTCAAATAGACTAAGACAAGTTCTTCCTGATATAATTACCCCATACCAAAGTTCATTTGTGCCAGGGAGATTGATTTCAGACAACATTCTTATAGCATATGAAATTACCCACTATTTATTGAATAAGAGGGAAGGAAATTTGGGTTATGCAGCTATCAAGCTAGACATGAGTAAGGCTTATGATAGAGTTGAATGGTGTTTTCTGTACCAGATGAAGAAGAAGATGGGCTTTGCCGATCAGTGGATTGAGTTGATTATGATGTGCGTCTCCACGGTGAGGTATCAAGTGAAAGTAAATGGTGATCTATCAGAACCTTTTGTCCCTCAGAGAGGATTACGGCAGGGTGACCCTCTATCACCCTACTTATTTTTGCTTTGTGCAGAGGCTTTTTAAGCTCTATTAAAAAAAGGAGAACAGGATGGCTCATTAGCTGGAGTTAAAGTTAGCAGTGGTGCACCAAGTGTTTCCCACCTTTTGTTTGCCGATGACTCTTTGATTTTGATTCGGGCAACAGAGGGGGATTGTGGGCAGCTGCAGTCAATCCTTCAGTTATATGAAGCTTGTTCTAGGCAAATGATCAACAAAGCGAAATCGGCGATTCTATTCAGTCGGAACACACAGGCAGATCAGAGAAAGAAGGTATGTGATCTGTTGCAAGTCACAAAGGAAACGATGAGCGAGAAGTATCTAGGGTTGCTGGTGCATGTTGGGCAATCAAAAACGGGCACTTTCGGTTATCTTAAGGACCGAATTTGGAAGAGGATTCAAGGCTGGAATGAAAAATATTTGTCTTGGGCTGGAAAAGAAATTCTCATTAAAGCTGTGGCACAGGCCATTCCCACCTTTGCCATGGGATGCTTCGATCTGACCAAGACACTATGTGACCAAATTGGGGCTATGATTTGTAGATACTGGTGGAACAATCAAGAGGGGAAGCATAAGATCCATTGGTTGAGTGGAGAGCAGCTGATGAAACCAAAGGAAGATGGAGGGTTAGGGTTTAGGGACATACATCATTTCAATCTTGCCATGCTTGCCAAGCAAGGCTGGAGGTTGCTGCAGAACCCGGACTCATTGTGTGCTAGGGTACTGAAAGCAAAATATTTCCCTAATTCGTCAGTTTTGGAAGCAAGACAAAAGTCTGGTATGTCATACACATGGCGTAGTATACTTCGTGGCATTGGCATAGTTAAAAAGGGGATGATCTGGAGAGTTGGAGATGGCGTGGGGCTGAACATCTGGGATGATCCATGGCTGCCTAGAGATTCGGTCAGGAAACCATTAATACCAAGAGGTGCTACCTTACTGACTGAGGTCACTGATTTATTGGATCCGGTCTCAGGATCTTAGGATACCAGCCTTGTAAAGGATACTAGCGTGAGTTCCCACACTGCGCGTGGGAAGGAGGGCGGAAAAAAAAAAGATGGAACGGGTCGGGTTTGTACTGTTCCTTTATCGGGTTCGTACTGTTTTCTTATCGGGCCGGTACTGTTCTTTATCGGGTTGGTACTGTTCTTTTATTGGGTTGGGTACTGTTCAGCGCGGATCCGGTAGGGTATTGTTCATCGCGGATCCGGCACTGTACCCGGTACTGCTGATCTACAGTGATATAAGATTTGGGGAGCGCCGGATGAACCGTTGATCTACAGTGTTTAAGTCTTTGGGAGCTCCGCATGAACAGTACGCCTCAAATTTAAAGTTCTTATATAGATATAGATATTATGGGAGGAGGATGCGGAGGTGATCCTGGCGTTACCGGTGCATGGAGGGAGAGAAGTCATTGGCATGGCACTTTGATAAACATGGAATATTCAGTGTTAAGAGCACTGTTCGCCTAAACGGTCATTTAGTCCGATTACACACCGTATAAACGTTACATAATGGTGTACCGTTTCGTTTAATTAAACGTTTAGCCTGTTTAATCGTCCGTTTTGCCCGTTTAGAACGAATAATGGTTAAACGGTGAGTGACCGACTGTTTACCGTTTAGCGTTTAGGATAACCACTGTTAAACTTGTTGGTTTCAAACGGTAGCCCAACCAAACCAAACCAACCATGTTTTCTTCTCACAAAAACCAAAGACCCAAATTTAAACCAAAGACCAAAGAACAACCAAATGAACATGCCCAACATTGGTTAAGAGTGCTTATAGAGTCAGCAGAGATGATGCCAGACGAAATCGAAACATAAATGGTGGCCAAGGGGGGAGCTCGGGTGGTGGGAATGAAGTTTGGAAGGAGTTGTGGAAGTTGAGATGTCCAAGCAAGATCAAACATTTTTATGGCGTCTTACTCATAACAGCCACCCCTTGAGATGCAACTTGGCTCGGCGAGGGATGCATATTGATACCTGCTGCCCGATTTGTGGGAGATTAGGAGAGGATGGAGCACATCTATTTTTCAAATGTAAACTGTCAAAGCATATTTGGCGACTGCTGAACTGGGAAGCTGAGCGAGCTCATCTTGCAACTATACCTGATGCCTATGGAGCTGTTGAATGCATTATGAAACAACGAGAACCGAAGAGAGAACTTATGGTGATTACTCTTTGGTTCATTTGGTCAGAACGCAACAGCATCAGAGAGGAAGGGAGGCGAAGGCCGGCGGAGGCATTGAAATGTACGTTCATGAGAATGTTCAGCTATCCAACAGTATATCAGTCCCTAGCAGATTGAGTAAGAAGAAGTGGACCAGGCCACCAAACAATGTGCTCAAGCTAAATGTTGATGGATCTTTCAAACTGAATGACAAGGCAGGCAGCTGGGGATTTTTGATACGAGATAGCGATGGGGATCTGGTGATGGCGGGAAGAGGCAAAATTGATAATCTTCTAAGTGCTTTTCAGTCTGAACTTATAGCCTGCCTTCAGGAACTGCAGACAGCGGCTGACTTAGGCATCGCCTAGCTGATTCTGGAGACAGACGCACAGGAGGTTGTGAGTGCTCTGAACACGCCGGTGTATGATGATTCAGTATTCGATCATATAATCGAGGAGATCAAGTTCCAGGCTAGGTTAAATTTTACTAGCTTTGTGTGCGTTCATGTTAATAGAAACTGTAATGAAGCCGCTCATGAGTCGGCTAGTTTGGGTTATCTATGTACGGAAGGTAATGGGGTCATTGCTGATTCCGTTCCTGATGTCATAGCTATAATAGCCGAGCCTGGCGCACCCCAAATAAAAAAGAAAAGGGAAGAGGACCCCAAGTCTCCCACCGCCGGCGGCCAACCCGGCCGCCGCCGGCCACCAACCACTCTCCCATTGCACGCCGGTTGCCACTCCGGTGCAGCGTCACCCCAACCGCCATGGAGTTCGGTTCTCCCTCTCGCCGTTCTGGGCCGATGAGGTCGAGGAGGCCGATTCGCTGCCTCACTCTTCGTCGCCACCCCTCAACGCCAACGCTGAGCCTTTCGTCTTGGGCTCGCTGCCGCCGGCTGTTTAAATGGTTCGATCCGGGAGAGACTCGCTTCTCCGACTCGAGGCCTCTCTTGGTTCTGTGGCCCCTCGCCGCCAACGTCGCTGAGGTTGGGGAGATCCGGGAGCGTCGCAGACGACCACGCCGCGCGCGTCGTCGCCGGCGCCAGCGTTCTTGCGGAGATGCCTCCGCTCACCACCTGCCATGGCCTCTCCTCCGCCCATGGCGTGCCGCGCTTCGGTCGCGTCCACCGGCCGAAAGCTTTGGTGAGCCGGACGACGACGGCTTCCGTGAGGTTCACACGCCGCGGCGTTGGCGTCGCGCATATCACCTACCTTTGCAGGCCGATTCTGCGGATATAGTTGGCCTTTGCTTCAATCGCCTACGTGATGACCACATCCGGCGAATCGTCGTTTCCTCCATGGCCGCCGTACACAGCCGCCAAGAGGGCCATCGTGCGCGCTTACGCCTCGATGGCCACCTTTGTCACCGGGGCCAAGCGAGGCCGCTTCGCCAGCATTGCTCGTCGTGCCCCGCTTCGAGGCGCCGTTCCCCAAAGGCCGAGGCCCTCGAGATGACACGCGTTCTCGGCCGCTCTCTGTCCATCGCCGCCGCCGTCGGTACCACGTTGTTGTCGCCCCCACCCTATAGCCGTGGATCGGCCGCCGCCTCTGCCGATGCTACCGTTACCGGCGCCGCCGCCGCGGTGGCTTCGGGGCCCTCGCTCGACCACACCGAAGCGCGGCGTGCGCCAAGTTTAAAGGGCGCCGCCAGATGGGGGCCGGGCGTCGCGACCGCATCTGTAGCTCCGGCGTGGCAGCCGCCGGCGCCTTTCAAATTTCGTGAACGCCCGCGTTGAGTTGGTCATCGTCCCGCGCACTGCGGAGATTCAACCCGCGGAGGACGCCTTGTCGCTCGCTCTGGTGGCCTTGGTTGGCGGTACTAGGCCGCCGGTGACCCCCGCTATGGTGCGCGAGCACCTTCGTGACCAGTTCAACATCATGGACGACGCGATGTCGGTTCTACGGCACGCCCCAGAGGACTTCATCATTCGTTTCCGTAGTCGGGATGACCTCGAGCGTGTCCTCAACTCTAGGCCACCACCGGTGGTAGCTTCGCCGTTCGTGTTGCTCTGGCGACGCTGGTCTCGCCTTTCATCGGCGAAGGCCGGTGCATTCACCTACAAGGTCCTGGTTGGGATTAAGGCGTTCCTACCCATGCCCTCGGCGAGATGTGGTCAAGCACCTCCTTGGGTCTTCCTCGCACCCAGTCGAGATCGCCCGGCCGATCTTGACGGGTTGACGACGACAACGCTACGCTGTGAACTATTCATCGCCGCTGGTGCCTTCACCCGCTCTTGGTGCCGGAGCGAAGCTCCTTGTCATCCCGGAACCGCTGGGAGCCGCATGACCCGGGCATTCTGTTTCTCCGGGAACACGAGATCATTCACTCCGAGCTGCCCATCCTGCATTACCTCGCTCGGATGCATGCCGTCGAATATCAAGATTGGGACCCTTCAACCTCCTCTGATGATGGTGGCTTCCCGGGCGCTGACAACTCCGACGACTGCGATGACAGTAATTACAATGGATATCACCCTGGTCTAGAGGATGGCCCGTCGCGTACTCGGCCGTTTGGCCCGGCCACCTTCCACCCGGGTGGGAGGGACGGCCCGTCGCTGGGGCGTGGCTCCGGTCCGGCGTTCTGGCCGTGATGCCATGCCGCCGGAGTAGCGGACGACGTACGCGCATGCATAGGTGGTTCAGGGTGGGTCCCTCATTCGCAAGGGCTTCTGCATGAGGGCCAATCGTGGCTCGGGGGCAGGGCATGGTCCTGGTGCGGGACGCGTCGCTTCGGTGCTGGTCCCTAGGTGCGCGAGATAGCGGATGACAAGTCGCCGCGGAAGCAAGACCGAGAAAAGTCTACAACTGTTGCTGTTGGTGCTCAGATGTCAGGCACGCCTACGGGCGCTAGCAGCCCTGACGCGTGGTCATTGGTTTGGGATGTTGACTTCGTGCCGGGGATGCGCATAACCCCATTCACCTTGGGGTGCAGGAGGATCCGATGTTGATTGAGGCCGGGATTGTGACGAGGCCTTCTGTGATGGCTTGCCATGGGCCGTTCTCTTCGCCGGAGCTGGCACCTATGCGTTTGGCCTAGCCCATGTTGGCGAGTTGTTTTATTGCTGATCACTTCAATTGCAGCCCGGGCGTTCGTGTGAGTACCAGTGGGCTCCTTGCCTTCATTGGGCCGGAAGATGCCGACGCCTCCGGCGGGGACGATTGCGGCTTAGGCGTTCGCGTGGGTAGCGATGGGCTCCTTGCCTTGCTTGGGCGGATGATGCCGACGCGCTCTCGGCGAGGACGTTACTACGACTCTTGCGTCACCACTACCCCCACCAGACAAATCCGGGCATGTCGCTCGGTGGGCCAGCACCCGCCGTCGTCGATACTACTCCCCTGCCGAACAAGCGAGCCGTGCGTGGAGGCGAGCTGGCGAAACCGCCGCGTTCGAAAGAGCTCGAGGACATGATCTGCGTCCCCTTGCGGTCCCCCTCATTCGCAGCAGCCACGCCTTCGTCTCGTTCCCGCACATCGATCTCCGTTGGCTCCTGCGCGCCGGCCGGCGGCTTATTAGGGCAAAGCCAGGCGGCGAACGCTACTGAGCAAGCACAGTTGTGCTACTTAAGAAGCTCGGGGTGCATGTGGATACCAGCGCACAGAACACGGAGATCGGCGAAGTTCTAGGCCACGCCCGTGAGGGCAACATGTCGGCCAACAAGCAACGAGCACGCTGCAGATCCTTTTAACAGCGACTTGACCCAATGGCCATGGGCCTTGACATGGCTGAGTTGGAGTTGACTGTTGAGACGTAGTCTCCGGCGTCCCATGTTTCTACCGTCGCTGGCGCTTTCTTTATGTCGTCTTTGCCCATGTTTCTTCTTACGCTTTCGGCGCCAAACAAATTTGGAAGACCTACGCCCCCATCGAGGGTGCGTTTCTTCTTCTGGTTGGTCTTGCATGGACGATGTTGGACGGCCGAGCGAAGGTTTCAAAGATGGATTGCAATACTCCGCCACTTGCATTATCTGCGATCAAGGAATTGAGACGATGGAACACATCTTGCTTGGCTATTGCTTCAAATTGAGAAGTTTGGGATCATTGGCTCGTGAAAGCTTCATCTTCGAGGAAGTTATTGTCGTCTGAGAGGGAGCCGGTTATGCAAAGGTGGTGGCGCGTTGGTAAAATCGGTCCCTAAGGCCACGCAGCGGTGGTTTTGACTCCTCTTCTTTCTCATCGGATGGTTGATTTAGAAGGAGAAAGCGAGGACTTTCGGCGGGGATACTACATCGCGGCGGGGCTGCGGTGGTCATTCAGAGGAGATATACGCTTGGTGCTTGGCTGGCTACAAGCACCTAAGGACCCCGATGGCGACGACTTGATCCCGTGAGTAGCTCTTCTTTGTCGCAAAATTCATGATTGTGTAATCACACTCGCGTGCTATGCTCTGCTTGTGTAGCTTCTGGCTTCGGTAACCTTGGATTACCGTGGCCATAAGGATTGTAACAAAACTCCTTTCTGCTTAATGAAAAACGTGCTTCGGCATGATCGCTAAACACACACACACACATATATGCTGTGGCGCTGTGCTCGTAAACAACAGTCACGTGCACCGTACCTGCATTTTTTCTCGAATACGCAAAAGATTTGCGTATCATTGTAATTAAGAAGAAAGGGGTTTAACCATACACACGACACGCTTCTAATGAGCGTCCTAAGAGGCCTTACTGCTTGACTAGATCTTCCTTGTAGACTGTTTTAAACTTCGATATTACATAAAAGTAAACAACCGAACTACGAGCATCGCAGTAACCTACGGAGCTATGCGTCTCCGCTAATGACCGCGCGACTCTGCTCCGTCATCCGAGAAGAGCCTTGTACCAATAGTAGCAGTGGCTGTCGGGAACCGCTCGTCCAGTGCTTCCACTTCGCTCGACGTCCAGTTCCTTACGAAAAAGTCGTCGTAAACTTTTTTGGACGCGAATGAGATTGGATCTGCCGACGGTGCAAAGTCCATCCTCCGCATGAGGAGCATGCACCGTACCTGCATTATTTGGTCCTTATTTTGTAATAATAATATATAAGCAAGCTATAGGTGGGTAGCCGCACCGCAGGTACGGTACACCGTACACATACGAATGCACGAGATCCAGATGAGATTGGCATGGAATGGATGGACGATGCTCCATCTCCTCGATCCGCGATCAGTTGCGGTTGGCGACGCCTTCGACGAGTCCGAGGTTGATGATGCCCCAAGCGGTGCGTGGCCAGGTGCCGCGGCGGGCCTTGTCCCCCATCAGCCGCCCTCACGACACCCACCCTTCCCACGTCATGCGCTTGTCCCAGCTGCTCCCCCACTGGAGCATCAGCCGCACCCCGCGCCCCGCCGCCGCCGCCGCCTCCGCGTACCTGCCGGCGTTCAGGAGCACCTGCGCCAGCACCAGGTGCGGCTCCCCCACGAAGGGGTTCTTCGCGATGCTCTCCCGCAGCAGGGCCTCCGTGTCCTTCATGTTGTCCTTGTTGGTCCTGGTGGTGGTGATTGCCTCCCAGTAGAGGTCCCTCGCCGCCTTCTGCTCCCCGGGGTCCAGCACCCGGCTGCACCGCTCGAACACCGGCGGGATCACCAGCTCGCCCACAGCCATGTCGTTGTTGTCGACGATGTCGTGGCCGTCGCCGCCCTCCTTGCTGATCAGCTGCTCGTCCCTGGCGATGAGGCCGTAGAGCGCTGCCAGCCTGGACATGGCGCTGACCCAGAGCCCCGGCTTGCCGGTGCCCGGCCACAGCGCGGCCCAGTCGTCGCCGCGGAACTCGAGCCGGCCGTCCGCGTTCCCGAACAGCTCGTCCTGGTAGTCCGTGTACTGGTCGCTGAAGTCGGCGACGGTCATGAGCAGGAACGCCGCCAGAACCCGGCGCGACAGCGGCACGGCCTCCCCGGTCCGGATGTGCGTCGCCACCACGCCCTCGGGCGGCACCACGGACCGGAGCTTCCGGCGCCACGGCGACATCATCAGCACGGGGGAGGAGCCCAGCTGGCCCTGCTGGGCGGCGGCGAGGTGGTCCCTGAGCTCCTGGTCCGTGTACCGGGGCTGGAGCTGCTCAAATATGAGCTGGTGCCGCGGCACGACGCAGAAGAGGTGGACGAGGCGCTCGGCGTCCGCGCCGATGATGCCCCGCACCTGGGCCCGCCCCGTGTCCGGCTGGAAGATGGCCAGGTCGACGTAGGAGTTGGAGTAGGAGGAGTGGAAGAGGCCGCAGCGCACCACGGCATCGGACGCGCCCCACAGGCGGAGGATCCGGTACACGTCCTCCAGGTGCGCCAGGAACGTGCCGTGCTTGTGGTAGCACTCGCCGGCGCCCGCCGCGCGCAGCACCGCCACCAGGGATGGCAGCTCCGGGTCCGCCGAACCCAGCTCGCCCCGGAGGAAGGGACGCGCGGCGTCCAGCAGCGACGACACGGCTTCCCACTCCGACTCCGAGGCCGTCGGAGTCTTGGCGGTGGTGTCACCAGCGTTGTGCTGCGGCTGCTGCTCCGAGTACTCCTTGGAGGAGTTGATGCCGCCGTTCATCGTGTCGTTGTACATCTTGGTGGTGGTGGTGGCGGCCATGATGGATGGATCGATCAGAAGCCTACAGTGGTGGTCTGTGGATGCGTGGATGGCCGAGTGAGCGTGCCGCGCTCAACCGAATGACGATGGACTGATGGAGTCACGGAGATATGATGGACCATATGTATAGGCCGCCCGAAGACGAAGGCTACGTTCGATTGGTCTATAAGTCATTTGTGCTGATTTATACTGTATAGTTTTTTTATTAAGAGAGAAAAATATTATATCATAACTAATAAACTAGCTTATAATAGTAGCCGGAGCCGAAGCCGCCCTGTAGTTGTTACCATACCCTGGCTATGGCTAGCACTACTACGTGTCGATGCATTGTTGAGTACGTGTTTGTACGTAACCTGCCACCTGCAGGTAGCCGCTCGTGATCAATACGACGACGATACTGACGATCCAGATGACACCGATCGATCGGCGATGGGCCTAGCTAGTCCGCTGGTGCTTGTGCGTCCGACCCGTCCGTTTCAGGCCCGTGCTGTCATCGCTGATAGCATCAAGACATATATCATCGTACATGCATGCTGCCAAAGTGCCAATGCAGCTGATGACGGATCGACGATGATGTACAACGGTTGTAGTTGGAGGCACGCCGCCTATACATACCATCTAGCGGCTTAGCCTCTTCTGTCTCCGTCTCTCTCTCTCTTACAGATTTGCTATTCACCCACTGTTTTTTTATTATTATAAAATACTAGCAAATATGCTGTACGTTGCAAACGGAAGAAAATAAGCAACCGAATATTAGTAGAAAACGGAAACATAAGGCTATAGATCTATTTATGTTCTATTACTTTATTTTAAAGCTACAATGATGCCAATATTATGACAATGTTTTATTAAACCTATATCAAATTAATGCACGACTTTGTATATAAAAATACAACTTTGAAAGATTTTTTCTGCCATGCAAAGCATAAAATATTTACTCGTAAATATATCGTAGCTTTAGTTTTCATGCTACACATGTATTGTTATAGTACTATCGAATTATGTACTTCCATTGATGAGGACCCATAAAAATATATACTTCTTACATTTGATTCAAGTCCAAAAGGAATTAGTTACCTATATGTGAAGCACGGGTGGTTTATCCAATTATGACAAGAGACATCTCTCTATTTTACATGTGATGGCACTTGCCAGGGTCACACGGGTGCATGCGTACAATGCAGAGATAGATTAGTTTAGTCTAGATTGGATAACAAACTCCTCAATATTTTAGGTTTACGGTTTAATTAATTGGACAATCAGTTGAACCAGATGTTAGTAATTTCTGATAAGTTTTGATTTTAATCAAAATTGCATCAACAGCTTGGTGGTATGAAAATTCTTTATTTTATAGAGAAAGGTTAGGTTTTTTTATTCTTAATTCTTAATTATATTCCATCAATAACTTAGTGGTGGAGAACTCTTTATTTTATAGAGAAAGATTAGATGTCGAAAGGCGTATGATACTTGCTTTTTTATTTTTTATATTTTTATATTTATGAGAAATAAACATAAAACCAAAAATATAAGAATCAAAACCGGATGCTTGACTGACGGCGCGGGGGGGCGGGGGAGCAGCTTGGCGGCCTTCACCAGGTGGCTCTGCTTCGGCGACCGTGGGTTGTCGTAGTCGAACCCGGTGTCCTCCTCGTTGTCGTCGTCGAGGGTTGAGAAGCACCGAGAAGATGCGCGCCACCGAGATCTCCACGCCACCACACGTTCGTGTCGTACAGCGCGTGCTGTGCCCGACCGGTGTGGCCGCGCCCGTGTCCTCCAGCTGCATGCCGATCCGCTTCTTTAGGTCGGCCCTGCAGAAGTGCAGATGCTGGACGTAGACATCGCCAGTCTTGAGGAGCCCCAAGAGGGAGGCCATCGGCACGGGGCTCTTCTTACTGTGCCGGGAGCAGGCCCACGATGGCCTCCACGACGGCGCGCTGCTTCTTGACGATGTCGTCGTCCGCGTTGCCGCCGTCGCCGCCGCATCTGTGCACGTTTCTGGCCATGAGTGCGTGGATAAAAAAAACACATAAACCAGCAGAACATAAACAAACGACGAAGGAAACCAACGGACACACGGAAGCAGTGGAGAGAAAAGCGAAAAAGGAGATTGACTGCCTGCTTATTTCCTTTTTCATGCAGCGCTGGATATTATGGACTCTGAAATCTGTATGGGATGCCAACTCTTTCTGCATGCATTAGGGACTGTTCGGCTGGTATTAAAGCCGGTTGATAAACAATCTGAAGCTGATTTGTTGTGAGAAAAAAATACTATAGATTTTAACTGATAAGTTCAAGCAAACATATCCTCTATCCCGCGTTCCTTAAAAGTAGACAATCTCATGTACGAAATAAAGACTATTGCCTGGTGTATTTGATCTCTCACGTGTGGCTGGAGCATCTTTACAAGCACCCGGATTGTATCTTTACAAAGCACTCAAATTTGGCATATATCATATAAAATCATATTGCCCTAACCAAATATGAGTCTCAACAGAATTGAATTATGTATCATTGCTAGACGTGAATTGTTCTAACTCGTATGAGCACGCTTACGAGTCCATGTCATATTTGAGATACGAATGACATGATCCAATACGTTTTGAAATCGAACTCCGTATGAGCACAAGTTATATATATATATATATATCCGTATATATAAAAAAATATATCCATATATATATATCCGTCCGGTTAGAAAAAAACTCCATTGAGGCGACAAAAAATGGATGAACGAAAAAATGGCTAAATTTTTTGTCTCTTTATTATTAGGTATAGATATAGATATAGATATGTCCGTACGTTGCACCGGGATCATAATTTTTTGGACTGACCTCACGCGGACGTGCGTGCTCCGAGGACTTCGTATTGAACGTGGAAGTGAATCTGGTTTTCACGCGGACGCGTGAACTCCGACCGGAAGATGATTCGTATCGGTCACGCTCACGAACAGATCAGATTTGGTATCACCCGATCGATGACGACGTCTTTTTAGGTGAAGAGATTTTTTTTGCCCGCCCTGGTCCCGATTTTTAGCTGTCCGTCTTCTGCTGTTCACCTTGAAGAAGCTTGACAGGCAGGGTAGTAGGGGGGGTGGTGCTAGCGGGAGAGACGAGAGGACGGGGGCCCCGTTTGCCACTGGCAATGGTGGGAGGGGCAGCCCACAGAAATTATGGGCCACAGAGAGTTTTTTTTCGACCTAGTTCAGAAATTGGGCTCTCATGGGCCAATTCACAGCTCACTCGAGGCCGTACTGGCCTGCCTTGCGCTTTCAGGCTGTCGTCTCGTCCTCGTCTCCGACCAAAGGCAGAATCCCGAGCGCCCCGCCGCCGCCGCCGACACGCCGGCCCCGGCCGCCGCTCGACGACACGTACCAACAGGAGCAGGTGATTATTCCTTATTTTAGGCCACTAATCGCAAATGGTTCTCTCCCCCGCCTCCATTTCTCTCAAAATTAAAGAATCTATGAATCGGTGACTGTTTCTGCGTGCATTAGGGACGAACAAGGACAACTCTAGTGACTTCATCGCACTAACCTAGCATCGCTCACCGTGTGTGTGCAGGATGACTCACCCATCTGCCGTCACGCAGCTGCTGGTTCAAGAGCCAGCAATGGAAATGGCTTGTCATCAATCCTCACCTGCTTCACAGGTTCGACACGAACCGGTTGCTATGTGACTATATATGTACCCAATTTTACACAAGCTCTTCTTTTCAAATCTTAGCTTGTTCCGGTATATCTATTCTTCTTCTGTATGTAACAGAAGGTGCAATTGTGTAAATAAACCCAGAAACATGGTTACCAAAGATGCATGCAATCGAAATGACTGTCTCGCTACTTCTGTTTTCATTGTCAATATGATATACATCACATGGTTTTGCTCACCGATTTTCCAGAGCTAATAATAGCATCTGAAAGTATTTACATATATTTTTCATTTCATACGCGGCATGCGCTCCCATCCTATGATGTGATATCTTAAGCCGTATGGCTTTCAGTGTTCATATTGCTTCAACTACTTCAGAGTAGAATTAATAAGGAACTTGCACCCATCCAGTGATGTTCGAGATCACAACTGGGGCTCACCCTAAGACAATGGGGCCAAACAACGTCTGCCACTCACACTTAAGACAAATTATTTATTACACATAACATGGGCTAACGGTGCCTTACATTATTCCTTCATTTTCCCCCTTCAGATGGTCATGACATGCTGCCCACAATTATTCATTACTACATCATTATTACCTTACCACAATACTACGGATGTTCTGGCTGCTCATTTCACAAGTCCCAGGTTGGTGATGCCTGCTGCAGTACGAGGCCACTCACTCTCCTTGGCCTTGTCCAGCATCACCCTACCCCAAGACACCCAGGATTCCCATGTCATCCTTTTGTCCCAGCTGACGCCCCATTCCAGCAGCAACTTGAGCCCTTCCTCGGCCTCTTTCTTCGCCTCTGCGTACCTCTCCATGTTGAGATACAGCTGTGCAGTAACCAGGTGAGGCTCTCCTACAAACGGGTTCTTTTGAATACTCTCCAACAGGAGCTTCTCCACTTTCTCCCAGTCTCTTTCCTTCCTGTCATCACTGCATATGGCCTCCCAGTAAAGGTCCCTTGCAGCTATTTGCTCTTCAGGATCCAGCTGTTGGATTGATCTCCCACGCCATTAGGCCCAACGGCCTTTGGGCCTTGTTCTCGCGCCCTGATCGGGGGCGCCCAACTCTACATGGTTGGTGGGCCCCCGTCGCACAGCGCTATAAAGAAAAGGTGGGGGCCGGGGCTCGCAGTACGAGGTTCACCGCGCCGCCAGACACCCCACCGACATCCTAACCCTAACCCGATCTTGAGAAGGGTCGTCTTGCGACGCCACCGACGCCAAGCAACGCCACCCCGACGCACTGCCTGCCGCCGCCAAGGACGCCATCGCACCGACTCTCTCTCCACCGAACGTCATTGCCGGCCGCCAAGCAGATGGCATCCATGAACGAGGCCAGCCACGCGCTTCCACCACTCCATTGCTTCAACCACTCTGGCCTTCGATGGTCTGCGACTTCCTACTCCACCTACCTCTTTTCTTCCTTTTATATCTCTGTAGTTCATGCATTAGGTTTTGTATATATACTGTAAATCTTGAACATGTATTCCTATTCTGTGTACCCGATCTGGTGAACTTGACTCGATTGAGTCCTAAGAAATCTAACAATGGTATCGGAGCTAGGTTAGAGAAGAAACCGGATCGGAAAAAAGAAAATAGAAAGAAGAACAGAGATATTCGATTTCGAATCGGGCGAAAGAAAGAAATCAAACCGAACCGATTTCAAATCGGTCAAAGTAACCCTAACCCTAACATGAATGGTTGAATGGGGTCCTACCTAGGCCCTCATCCCGCCGCAGGCATCCCCACCGCGCGGGACAAAGACCGAGCCGTCGGCCCTCGCCGACGTGCCGGACTGGAACCCGAACCCTAGATCTAAATCCTTTCGGATAAGAGAAAATCAGACCCAAATCCGAAGAGGGGAAAGGGGATAATCTTGGAGAACTCGAATCAAACAAAAGAAGGGTCGGAACCCTAACCCTAACCCTATTTTCCCATTCGGATGAACTCGAAAAGAAAAGGAAGAAGAACAATACAAAGCCGAAGGGGAAGGGGTGGATCTACCTCGTCGTGCGTCGGGATGTCCCTTCACCGGCGCGGGAGAAGAAGCCAAGCCGGGGGAGCTGGCTCGCCGGGCTCGGCCAACGAAGCGCCGCAGCCAGGCCGCTCGACGGCGGCGTGCTCACCCGTTGGGGAGCACGCGCGCCGGCGAGGGGGCCGGCGACGGCGCCATGGCCGCTCCACCGTCGTCGCTCTCGCTTCGCTCGCTCGCTGCCACTCTCGATCGCTGCTGGATTCGCTGAGGAAGAAAGAACGGCAGAGAGAGAGCGAAGAGAGAGAGAGAGAGCAAAGGAATAAATGAAGTTAGGGTTTGGGAGGACGCGGTCGGGAGCGTTTTTTTGTTCGCCCGAAGACGGCGCGCAGCCGTCCGATGAATCCAACGGCCATGGATGCTCGGGCGTCGCGCCTGCGCGAGCCCAGTGCCCTTGAGTGCGCACTTTGCCAGCCCAAAGTTAAGTGCTTTGGGTGCTCTGTGTTGGCGCGACAGATGGGTCATTGCAGTATGTATTCTTGGGTGGCCGGGCAGCGTATGGGCGAAATGCATGATAATTATTGTTCTCTTTGATTAAATTTGAACCAACGGGATAATTTAATTTTAAGAGAAGTGATGAATTTCTGATAATTTTTTTGATGAGATTATGATGTTATTTTCTGACCAACGTTGTTAATAACAATATTATAATTTTGATCCATGAGAAATTATGCATTAATTTTACTTATGCCCAACGGTGATGTAAAATATTTGCATGGATGAATCATAGTTTAATTTGACCAACGTTGAGTTAAAGCATGAAATTTTATATATAAATGTTTCTTACTTACTCTGGTGTGGTTTCAGGAGGCAAATGCATTGTGAACATTGCCAACATCCCGACACTCAATGGGACCAATCACCATGTGTGGCGGGAGAAGTATGAATTGTAACTTGCGTTGGGAGAGGTCGATTTTGCCATCACCTCACCGTGTCCTACTGAGCCAGAGGACCCAGTGAGAGGTGAAAATGAATCTGACTCTGATTTCGCTGCTCGAAAGCGTAATCATGCTGAAATAAGAATGAAATATGACCTTGAACATAGGCAATGGACTCTCTCCAACCGCAGTGTGTCATTGGTGGCCAAGGCCACCATAGAAGAAACAGATAAGGGCTCAATCCACAATGTGCTCTTGCAAAGAATATCATGAGAAAATCAAGAGTCGAGTTCTTCGGGTCTACCAAGGCCACAAACAAGTTCATCGATTAAGAAGTTTGTGAATGAGAAATTCACTGGTGGTAGCATAAGAGAGCACATTTTGAAGATAAACACTACGACATCTAAGCTAAAGGAAATGAATTTGAAGGAGGAGGATTTCCTGATTCATTTGATTTTTGCTTTTTTGCCAAAAGAATATGACACCTTCATTGTGAATTACAATATGCAGCCTGAAAGATGGGGCATAGAAAGACTCATCTCAATGTGTGCTCAAGAAGATGAGAGGATAAAGTCCTCACAGGGTGAATCCGCTCATTTTGTGAAGGATAACAAAAGAAAAAATTTTAATGGTAAGAATTCTAAACCATAAGGGAAACCCAAGTGGGATAAGGCCTCTTCCTCCAATTCACAGGGAAAGAAACCCTAGGATTCTGAGAATCAGCAGTATGGTGGAGCTGAAAAAGATCAGTGCAAGCACTGTTTCAAGAAGGGACACTACAAGAGGGATTGTCCAGACTTCCTGAAATCTCTGCTAAAGAAAGGTGATGAATTTATTACATTTGTAGATGAATCCCTGTATTTATGTTATGATAAATCCACTTGGTGGGTTGATTCAGGTGCAACTACTCATGTTGTAAATTCCTTACAGGGGTTAAGTGAGACGAGAACCTTGCAAAGAGGAGAAAGATCGATTAAAGTTGCAAATGGAGTGCAAGCCAATGTTCAAGCCATTGGAGTTTTTTCTTTAGAATTGAATAATGATTTTGTACTTAGACTTAAAGAAGTACTTTATGTTCCCTCTTTGCGTAGAAATTTGATAAGCGTTTCGAAACTTGATGATGATGGAATTGATTGCCACTTTGGTGGTGGCAAGTGTAAGATACTGGTTGATAATAAATGTGTTGGTCTTGCCTTCCGACAAGATAAGCTTTATTTATTATCTCTTGCTAAGAATGCGAACAATGTATGTGACGAGAATGTGAATGATTCCCCATCTGCGAATGTAACTAAGAAGCGGAAGAGAATTGATTATGTCTCTTCGAAATTATGGCATTGTCGCTTGGGCCATATTTCGAGGGGGAGAATAGATCAATTGGTTAAGGAATCAATTCTCCCGCACTTAGAATTTTTAGATTTAGAACAATGTGTTGATTGTATCAAAGGAAAGTATGTCAAGAAAATTAAGAAAGATGTCAAACGAAGCATAGGAATTTTAGAAATAATCCACACAGACATATGTGGTCCTTTTCCTATGAAAAGTGTGGATGGTTATGACTCGTTTATGACATTCACAGACGACTACTCTCGTTATGACAATATTTATCAAATTAAAGAAAGATCGGAAGCATTGGATAAATTCAAAATATTTAAAGCTGAAGTTGAAAATCAGCACAATAAGAAAATCAAGATAGTACGATCAGACCGAGATGGAGAGTACTATGGGCGACGTACCCCATATGGCCAAATTCCTGGACCATTTGCAAAGTTTCTACAGGAAAATGACATAGTTGATCAGTACTCCACACCGGGGGAGCCTCAGCAGAATGGAGTGGCTGAAAGACGTAACCGTACCTTAATGGATATGGTAAGAAGCATGATAAGTTACTCCACATTACCGATTAGTTTATGGATGGAGGCACTGAAAACCGCCATTCACATACTTAATCGAGTACCAAGTAAATCGGTGCCTAAAACACCATATGAATTATGGATAGGAAGGGAACCCTCACTTAACCATTTGCGTGTGTGGGGCTGTCCGGCTGAGGCAAAAGTGTTTAACCCAAACATAAGAAAGTTAGACTCCAAGACAGTCAGCTGCCATTTTATTGGCTATCCAGAAAGATCGAAAGGATATCGTTTCTATTGTCCTGACAGACATACGAAGATTGTAGAAATAAGACACACTGTGTTCTTGGAGGATAACATGATCAGGGGAGCATTGTAGCACGAGAAATCAGCCTACAGGAAAAGTGGGTACATGTACCCACTCCGATGGTTGAAGAACCATTCTTCACGCTACCTGCTGCTGTTGCACCGACAGTGCAGGACACTGTAGTGCCAACACCTGTTGCAAGTTCTCTCGTGGCGACAATGAATGAACATGAGGAACCTGTCCTTGAGGAACCTATAGAACCAAATGTCGCACATGAGGAAGAACACCAACAGCCCAACGTGGAACAAGTGACAGAAGCACCTAGGAGGTCTCAAAGAATAAGAAGATCAGCTATTACTGATGACTATGAAGTTTATGAAACAGAAGAATTTCAGATGGGGGATGATCCCACCTCATTTGAAGAAGCCATGAGAAGCGACCACTCATCAAAGTGGCTTAAGGTCATGGAAGATGAATTGAAATCAATGAGTATCAATAAAGTTTGGGACTTAAAAAATATTCCTAAAGGAGCCAAAACAGTAGGCTGTAAATGGGTCTACAAAACGAAATATGACTCCCAAGGGAATATAGAAAGATTTAAAGCGCGACTTGTGGCGAAAGGCTTCACGTAAAGAGAAGGGATTGATTACAATGAGACGTTTTCTACAGTTTCATGTAAAGATTCCTTCAGAATTATAATGGCACTTGTAGCCCACTATGATTTGGAGTTACATCAAATGAATGTAAAGACGGCTTTCCTAAACGGGGATTTGGAAGAAAATGTTTATATGGCACAACCGAAAGGTTTTGTCGTAAAAGGAAAGGAAAATATGGGATGTCAAAGAAATCAATCTACGGATTGAAGCAAGCTTTAAGACAAGGTATTTGAAGTTTGATAGAACGATAAAATGTTTTGGTTTAAAGAAAATGTTGAGGACAATTGCGTTTATGCAAAGTTCAAGAATGGAAAGTACATATTTCTAATTTTGTATGTGGATGATATCTTGCTTGCTAGTAGTGATATCAATCTACTAATGGAGACGAAGAAATTCTTGTCCTCAAACTTTGATATGAAAGATCTTGGTGATGCCTTGTTCGTTTTGGGAATAGAGATTCACCGAGACGACGAAGAAAGGGGTTCTAGGATTATCGCAAAAGGCATATATAGAAAAGGTCCTGAAGAAATTTAGTATGCATAATGTGCAGTCCTTTACCCTCTATAGTCAAGGGCGATAGATTTGGGAAACATCGGTGTCCCAAGAACCAATATGGAATTGACCGAATGAAAGCGGTACCAGTATGCTTCAAATTGTTGGAAGTTTACAACATGCTCAAGTGTGTACACGCCTCGACTTAGCTTTTGTTACCAAAGTTACTTGGCGGATATCAAAAGAATCCGAGAATTGAACATTGGAAATTAGTGAAAAAGTCCTGCGTTATTTGCGAGTACGAAAGGCCTCATGCTTACGTATAGAAGATCCGATTCCCTGCGGATAGAGAGGGTATTCAGATTCGATTATGCGGGAGAAGAAAGAAAATCCACGTCGGGATATGTATTTACTCTCGCAGGAGGGGCTATATCGTGGAAAAGCTCCAAACAAACCAGTAACTACATCCTCGACAATGTATGCCGAGTTTGTAGCATGCTATGAGGCAACAAGCGTGTGAATTGGTGAAGAAATTCATACCCGATTGAAAGTGATTGATAATATAAATCAACCACTGAGGTTGTATTGTGATAACAACCCAGCGGTACAGTATGTTCACAACAATAGGTCAAGTGGTGCTGCCAAACACATTGACATAAAGTATTATGTTGTGAAAGATAAAGTTCGGGATCATATAATAAATTTTGAGTATATAAGTAAAGAGAAAATGCTCGCGGATCTGCTCACAAAGGGCTTACCACCCAACGTGTTCAGAGAACACGTAGCCGGCATGGGTTTAAGGGAAAGCCTATGATTCCCGAACATACGAAGGGCCCAAAGAAAGTTTACATTTTAAAACGGAGAAGTGTATTGTGGCTGTTAGTCTAACGGCATTAATTGTTGTGACGATGGGACAGTTTTATGCACTAATCTGTGATGAAATAGGATGGAAGCAAGAAAATTATGAATCGAAAGTTTGAGTAAGAATTAAAGAACGAAGAAAGTGATGAGAGATCAAGGGGGAGAATGTTGGATTGATCTCCCACGCCATTAGGCCCAACGGCCTTTGGGCCTTGTTCTCGCTACGATCGGGGTGCCCAACCCTACATGGTTGGTGGGCCCCGTCACGCCAACCTTCTATAAAGAAAAGGTGGGGGCGGGGCTCATGATACAAGGTTCACCGCGCCGCCAGACACCCCACCGACATCCTAACCCTAACCCGATCTTGAGAAGGGGCGCTGCCAGCGACGGGAAGCACCACCGACGCCGGCAACGCCACCCCGACGCACACGCCGCTGCCAAGGACGCCACTGCACCGACTCCTCTCTCCACCGAACATCGCTGCCGGCGCGCAGATGGCATCCGCGAACGAGGCCGCGGCCGGCGCTTCCACCACTCCGACTACTTCGACCACTACGGCCTTCGATGGTCTGCGACTTCCTACTCCACCTACCTCTTTTCTTCCTTTTATATCTCTGTAGTTCATGCATTAGGTTTTGTATATATAGTGTAAATCTTGAACATGTATTCCTATTCTGTGTACCCGATCTGGTGAACTTGACTCGATTGAGTCCTAAGAAATCTAACACCAGCACCTTGGTGCAGTAGTTAAACACCGGTGGGATCACCAGCATGATTTCTTCGTCTCGGTCGAGGCGGATAGTCTCTCCCATCTTGTTCCTCTCCTGAGTGTAAATCTTCCTCTCTAAGGATGAGGTTGTAGAGAACTCCCAGCCTTGATGCTGCATTCATCCAGAGACCGGGCTTGCAAGTTCCTGGCCACAGAGCACCCCAGTTGTTGCCGCGGAACTCCAGCCGGCCATTCTCGTTATCATACAGCTTGTCTTGGTAATCAATGTACTGGTCGCAGATGTCGGCGATAGTCATCAGAATAAAGAGTGCTATGATCCTGCGTGAAAGTGATATGGGTTCACCAGTCTTGAAGTGCCTTGCTTCGATGCCCTTTGGTGGAAGAAGCTTGCAGATCTTCTTGCGCCATGGCTTAGACGCGTCAAATGTGCTGGTCTCCCTAGCTGTCTTGATGGACAGGTCAGAGGCAGCTAGGTGATCCCTCAGCTCCGCGTCGGTGTACTGGAAGTGGAGCTCTTCGTGGATGAGCTTGTGGCGCGGGACGGCGCAGAACAGGAAAGCTAGACGTTCAACTGGTGCGCCGATGAGCCGCTGCACGTCCTCACGGGTTGTGCTTGGTTCGAAGATGGAGACGTTGACGTATGAGTTGGCATACAATGAGTGGAAAAGGCCACATCGAGCGATGTCAAAGGGCGCACCCCACAGTCGGACAATGCGATGGAAATTGAGCAGGTGAGCTAGGAATGCCCCGTTCTTGTGGTGACGCTCACCGGCACCGGCTGAGCGTAGGATGGAGAGAAAGGATGGGATCTCTGGGTCGATTTTCTCTAGCTCATCGCGAAGGAATGGTTGAGCAACTGCAAAGAGGGATGGTAGGTTCTTCCTATGGGTTTTCAGGTCGGGGGAACAGAAACCTTGTTGGGTAGACATGCTGATGCAAGATTTTGTAGTAGGTGATGATGTCTGATAGGGACTAGTTAGGGTGGGTGCGAATTTATAATCCTCTTGGCGTGTTAATCTGTCCAACATCTTTTAATGAAGGCAGTGGTAATCATGGTGAGTGAACTGGCTATTAACATCTGCCAACTAGGATGCTGGACTTTTCCTCAGTGTAGTTTTGCTATAGACAAATTAGTTGCAACCTCTTTTGTTGATGCTTATATATGAAGAGAGCATGTTAATACATCCAAGCTTTTCTGGTAGAAGTAATAAGTATGTGGCTGGCGTGTGAATGACTAGGATTTTCCAACTAGGATTTTTGGCCTTTTCTTAGGTTGGTTTTGCTACAGACAAATTACTTTCCACCTTTCTGTTCATGTGAAGAGTCTGAATGTGTTAACAAGCCCAACCATTTCCTGATAAAACTAACAAGGATAGTTCATCAAGGGCTTCAAGAGTTTCCAACCAAGATTTTGGATATATTACTGGTTGTTAAGAAGATCTTGGTGCCATATGTAGCTATCTGTATTGTTTCTTTGATTCTTTCAATAAAAGCTCTAGTTGGTTATTGGAGTTTTCCATGGGTGTGTTCCATGGGCATGTTGCTATAAGAAAACTTGTAGTGTTGGTGCGTCCTGACTGATAAAGTGATAATGGTTGTTGTGCGTGGCTCCAAGATTGCCAATAAGGGTGGTAGCCCCTTTCCTAGGTTTGTTTGGCTATAGACAAGTTAGCTTTATACTTGATGCCTTGGTGCCGATCCGTGGTGATGCTAATGCAATCAACTCTACGAGTAACAGCAAGTACCATTTCTTTCATAGGTACAGTGCAACATATGTTCCCATAGTTGCATACATATATCCTTTGGATCCGAACTCATAAACTTCATACTTGACCTATACTTGTATGATTTAGTGAAGAAAAAGTTCGCTCTAGTTAATCGGTAAGTAGAGATGATAGGACATATTGGTTCAGTCAACTACATAACTCATCCTATAAAATCAAAGGCCAATCTGACACATGGACTTGAATCACGTTTCTTGTATCTTTGGACAACTTTTCCTTGCGTTCTATTGACTGGACTTAGCAAGCATAGTTCAACTCTACTGTTACCCCCTTTTCTGTAAGGAGTTTGACTTATACTATACATAATTTAATTTAAAAAAAAAGCCCTAACATCAATAGTTGCTGATTTCGGTTTGGTTTTGAACATACCTTGCTTATACAAGTTTCAACATCTAATATGTAGTCATCAAGCTTAGGGGCCCAAATGACACAACCTACAGTTTAGACATTCATGTTGCCTTTTGTGTTTATGCTTGTCTACACTCTACAGTTTTTGTTAACACATCTACATTTTCTGGAAGAAATAGATAAGACTACTCTATCTTAATGAAATGACACGTAGATCTCCAACGTAGTTCGAGGAAAAAAAAGAAATGGATAAGACTACTTCATGAACAGCTTCAAGAGTTGCAAACTAGTCATATGCTGGATATTTTTTATGATTGGTGTTTGCTGCAGACAAGTTATGTTTGATGTGCCGATAACACATCTGAATATTTTGTTGCGACGTGTGAGTAGATGATGCATCTTCGTCAATAGAAAATCTATAGGATAATTACCAATTTGTTGCATCAAGTGTGAAGATCCAATAGTGCCATAAAGGCTTAATTGTTGTTGAATTAAATGTCAAATAATTCTTTGCAATTTGCAGTCTCCTTTAGGAGCGGAAAAGGAGGAGATACTCCACTTTCAGTCTATCTATACGAGGGAATGGTTTATGTTGTTTCACTTCCAGTGCTTTATTTCACATTAATATCTGAATATCCAAGTACAAGCGGCCGCTGAACTAAATTAGGTAAGATGAGCCTATGAATAGGCTAGTTTCCTTATTTTCTAGCATAGTCCATTTTGACTAACCATGGGTTTATTATTTCGTATACAAATACAGTAGGTGCTTTACATATTCTGAGAAGATGACATGTGGGATCAGTATCGGCAGCTGCAGCCTACATATCCATCCATCCGGCAAGACACAAACGGCCATTTGGGGGATGAGTCCTGATCATTTGACAAGCCCTAGGCTGAGAATGCCGAATGAGGTATGAGGCCAATCCTTCTCGCTGGCCTTGGTCAGCATCGCCCTGCCCCAAGACACCCACCCCTCCCATGGCATTCTCTTGTCCCAGCTGCTGCCCCACTCCAGCAAAAGCTTGAGACCTTCCTCAGCCTGCATCTGTGCATCGCCATACCTCTCCATGTTAAGGTACACCTGTGCAAGCACCAGGTGTGGTTCTCCTACAAACGGGTTCTTGGCAATGCTCTGCTGAAGGAGCTCCTCCACTTTGAGCCAGTCTGATGCCTCGTCGCCGCGGCATACTGCCTCCCAGTAGAGGTCTCGTGCCACCTTCTGGTCATCAGCGTTGAGCACTTCGGTGCAGCCGTTGAACACCGGGGGGATCACCAGGTCGATGTCCTCATCTCGTCCAGCAGAGCCATTGCTTCCTTGTTGGCCGATGGCATGTGCTCGTTGCGTGATGTATATCTCCTCCTCGCGGATGATGAGGGTGTAGAGTGCGCCCATGCGGGAGCTAGAGGTGACCCAGAGGCCGGGCTTGCCGGTGCCAGGCCAGAGGGAGGTCCAGGTGTTGCCACTGAACTCGAGGCGGCCGTTGGTGTTATCGAAGAGCCGGTCCTGCCAGTCGTAGAGCTGGTCGCTGAAGTCTGCTATGGTCATGAGGAGGAACGTTGCTGCTATGCGCCTGGCAAGTGCCACATCCTCCCCTGTCCTGCAGAACAAAGATGCAATTCAGGTGCGCCGTCCTGAAACTGAAACCGCCACAAACTTGTAGAGTTGAGACTCATTATTAAGATTTTGGTATTGTATTTTGTTTGATTACTAGATACTAGGTCCTATGAAACAACTAACTGTAAATGATCAATAAGAAGACCTCAATTGTGGGGTCTAGTTGGGCAATTGATATGTCACCTCATCGTGATATATATATTTGTAAGTCTGATCCAGTCCGTGAGCATGCTTACATACAACAAGGGAAAAGAAGGAAAGAAAAGTCTAAACTAATGTCAACATCTTGCTTGCATATACTCCGTATTATTTGTGAGCTGCTCGTGCTCGTTGCTGGAATCAATGGATTCCATTTATCATCTATGCAATTGTTTGGTGAAGCAATATGGATAGAGCTGAGTAAACTGTTTGGATGGTACAGCACTGCACTGACACGGTAGTAGTACCTGATGTGCTTGACCGTGATGCCGTCGGGCGGGAGGAGGCGCTGGATCTTGCGCCGCCACGGCTGGGCGTCGTCGAACACCCCGCGCCGGGCTTCCCGGAGGGATGCCTCGGAGCTGGCGAGGTCGTCGACGAGGTCCTGGTCCGAGTAGTGGAAGAGCAGGTCGTCGTGGACGAGCTGCTGCCTGGGGACGACGCAGAAGAGGTGGACGAGGCGCTCGGCGTCCGCGCCGACGACGGCGGCGACGTGGGCGCGGCCGGTGTCGGGCTGGAAGATGGCGAGGTTGACGTAGGAGTTGGAGTAGGCGGAGTGGTAGAGGCCGCAGCGCGCCACGGCGTCGGGCGCGCCCCACAGCGGAGAGGATCCGGTGCACGTCCAGGAGGTGCGCCAGGAACGTGCCGTGCTTGTGCCAGCACTCGCCGGCGCCCGCAGCGCGCAGCACGGCGGCGAGGCCCGGCAGCGCCGGGTCAACGTCCGCCTCTTCGCCCCGCAGGAACGGGCGCGCCGCCGCCAGCGCGTCGGCCAGGGACCGCGACGGCTGCGCCGCCGCCGTGGCTGCTGTAGCAGGCGCGGCGACGAGATCCTTGGTTGCGTGCGGTGGCATGGTGGCTGTGTTGTGGAGATCGTGATCACCACCGGACCCAGATAGGAGAGGTGGTTGTAGGCAACTTGGACACCGAGGGGAGTTCCACCTCAACCAAAGACCAAACGAGTGGTGGCCATTTCAGTGCCGAGTGAGCAGCATAAGATAGAGACGGTGGAAAAGACGACATTTTTTGGGGTTGCAGTTGCGGTACGATCGGATTCCCATTTCCTCTTTCCCTATACAACTCTAGGAATTCAGACGTTCGGAGCATGGCAAATAAAGAGAGCCATCCATAGAGTTGCCAATCTTGTTTTTTTACTAATATAAGCAAGATTGAAACCAATCGTTCTCCAACAACTTGACTTCCATCTCAACTCTCAATCTTTTCACACTTACTAAATTGGATCCAATTGCACGTGTATCGATCATCAGTTAATGGGTTCCCAATGTAAATGTACATTAGAGAAAAAAGTATAAAAGTGACATGTGATTTGGAAATAGTCCAAAATTCCTAATACACAGTTATCTTCTATCTTTTACGAGCCAGATTTTAGAAAAGGCTGGAGAAACCCAACTATTGGGGATGCCATAAGGTTTGGGCCCCCCTCTGTGAGAAATAGCTTCCGACCAACGTTTCATCCGCAGAGGCCAGATGGTCCATTGACGAAACCAATGGCGAAAGAAGTCGTTGGTTTTCACTTGCGTGGGAAAGCATAGTAGCCTTCAACCAACGTTTCACTCGCAAGGGCCAGATGGTCCACTGATGAAACCAATGGCGAAAGAAGTCGTTGGTTTTCACCCGGCTTGCGTGGGAAAGCATATTAGCTTTCGACCAACGTTTCACCCGTAGAAGCCAGATGGTCCACTGATGAAACCAATGGCGAAAGAAGTCGTTGGTTTTCACCCGGCTTGCGTGGGAAAGCATAGTAGCTTTCGACCAACGTTTCACCCACAGGGGCCATATAGTCCACTGACGAAACCAATGGCGAAAGAAGTTGTTGGTTTTCACCCGGCTTGCGTGGGAAAGCATAGTAGTTTTCGACCAACGTTTCACCCGCAGAGGCCAGATGGTCCGCTGACGAAACCAATGGCAAAAGAAGTTGTTGGTTTTCACCCGGCTTGCGCGGGAAAGCATAATAGCTTTCGACCAACGTTTCACCCGCATGGGCCAGATGGTCAACTGACGAAACCAATGGCGAAAGAAGTCGTTGGTTTTCACCCGGCTTGCACAGGAAAGCATAATAGGTTTCGACCAACCTTTCACCCGCGGGGACCAGATGGTCCATTGATGAAACCATTGGCGAAAGATATCGGTGGTTTTCACCCTGCTGTTATGACTGAGTAGAAAAGCTTTCGACCTCCGTTTCACCTGCTGTGATCGGATGGTCCTCTGATGATACCGATGGTGAAAGACATCCATAGCTTTCATCACACTAGCAAGTAATCTGATGTGAAATGCGATGCTGGGGGGCCTTTCGGCTTGCTATAAGCTAACCGATATGATATGATGTGTCATCTTGCAGGTCTTTCGTCATCATTAGCCCTCGTCCTTTCGGCAAGGTCCTTCGTGCTTTTGGCCATGGGGCCCGGGCGAGGGGGCCCAGCCGAGGAAGGCGTTCACCGAAGGGGGTCGTAAGCTGAATGGACTAAAAGCGCCTACAAGGAAGAGGAATATGCTCAGGGATCTGAGTAGTTAGGAGGGCATTTTGGTCTTTGTAAAGATACGGATGTGTATAAATAGGGCTCCATGTGAGCAGTGTAAAGGAGAGGATGTGGCAGAACCACCTAATCTAATGCCTCCCAGGAGTACTTGTCTTTCATTAGACATTAAGTACTCAAGGGAGGACACCAAATTATGCAGTTCCGTCGAGCACACCCCAAGGGAGAACCCGAAAATCCATATTTTTTCATCAAGGTCACAAATGAGAGAATAAAGCTTATAACATTTTAGTCATTTCTTACATCACTTTTAATACAACATCAGAGTATAATATTTATTGTTATAACAGCGGAATGTAATCATGTTATCAGAGTTATGAACAATTTAATTTAACAGCGAAATATAAACATGTGATCAGAATTACAACGAAAATAATTATCTATTCATGACATGATGAAGCATTGGTATATAAGCTATGACAACAGATTATAGAACTTTCATTTATAAAAATATTTGGTGAGAGTTATAAATAACAACTATGATCGCAGCGTAAAGGAATCCCCTCTGAGCCCACCAGGAGGAATCCACACACAAGAGTCAGCTCTAGCATCCGCCTGTCACCCGCAACAGGGGGAAATAAAACCCTGAGTACTTAATTGCACTCAGCAAGACTTACCCGACAGGAGGAAATAAAATAATCCAAGGATATGCAAGGCTATCTGGCTTGTGGGTTTATTGCATCTGCAGGAAGCATTACTAAGCGTGCGTCCTTATATTCGATTTTATTAGCAGGCATCATTAGTTCATTAACTAACCATTCTATGTAAACACATGTGCCACTTTCAAGTAGGTGGTAAACAATCAGATTTCCTTTTACCATCTTTCATCTTTCAGTTCTTACTACGTTGCTAGACTGTAGACAAGTCGTACAGACACGACGGTGATTCGCGAATCAATAAGTCCAGCCGGGTACTCCGAAACACACGCCCCGCTTGTACCCTAGGCACAAGCAAGACCAACCCACTACCCTCCTATCACGGGGCCTAGGTCCCCATCCAAACTGGGACTCCAAGCCCCTGCCCCTGAGTCCCAGACTCAGTGTGGTGCAAGGACCTCCACCCAAAAACCACCCTGACAGTCAGTCTGGAAAGAGCCGGAACCCATGACAAGAGAGTAACAAGTCTTTCCTGCGTCCATACCCAAGTATGTGCTCGGCATAATAAGTCTGTGACCTGCCTAGAACCCAATGCAATGGCTGGTCCTTAACTGACATAGACACATCAGTGCATGAGCTATGGTGAGGCTGCATCGGCCATAACAATTGATGTCGATGTTGGCCATCTCTTTAGAAAGTTTTATAGAGGATTTGATGCAGATATCTTGACTTGGCTACCATATGATGAGGATGAGAACAATGAGCTGGTCCTCCCATTCAAATTTCGATTTGAATCAGGCTGTTTAGACGAAACGGCAGCTGCAATCTTTAATTCCTTTATCAAACCTTACGTTCTTCCAGCTAAATTTCGTCATGGCCGTGGCAAAATGGCTACATGTTCCTTCCTTCCAAGCAACCTTCCAACTTATGAGTTTTACAATCTGTCTTTCATAGCCCATCAGTTTGGTCTTGGTCAACTCCCCCCTTAACTGTTCTTCAAGAACACACTGAAGCCAAGAGAAGGTATCAGTGAGGTGATAGAAGCCTCTAGAGTCTTTCAATTGGGATCAAATCTTCCTTTCCTTTGCTTGCATGATTGGACCAGAGTTAGCTTCTCTTCCACTCTCTTTGACTCCTGGTGGCAATAATGGCACTTCCATCTCTTCTGTGGGTTGGTCCACCCTTTGTGCATAGCTTTGGATGAGAAATTTGCTTCTGACAGAGAGGTAACTTACCATTTCTTTTTTCAAAAAAATATTCGATAAATTCTCTTGCCAACTGTTCTAATAGACCCTTTCAGGACACCGAATTCAATCCTCCAAGCTTGGATAGGAAGGGGCATCCTATAGATTATCAGCCAGCATGCCCAGTTTCAAGAATAGGATTAGCCGCACCTCCATTGAAGAAGTTGATGAAAACTCATGCTGCCCCTATGATCATGACGTATCAATCTTCAAAGCGCAAGGCGGTCCAAGGGGCAACCCAGAAAGTCGTTACTAGGAAAAGACTCCGCAGAACGAGACCATCAATCGCTTAGGTAAACAATTCATCTTTTCCTCAAAATAATATTCAACTTCTGATCCTCTTTCTTCACAGTTATCGACCATTGCATCCCAATCGGTTCTAGGTGTGGAGCTGTTGTCCTAGGCATTTAGTTCAGCATCAACTAAACCTTCATCGGCCGATCCCCAAGAGGAGCCGATTTCGGTTGAACCAACCGACGCTCGTAGGATTGTAGAAGATAAGGATCCTTCGACTTCAATCCCTGACGCTTCCAAAGTATCTCCTTAAAGTCCTTAATTCTTATCCAATTTTGTCCTTCATCTGACCATTTATCACGTCAGATACCTTCTAAGGGAACACCCACGCAGGAGCAGGAGTTTGATAGTCTACTTATTAAAAATGATCCTGCTGTTGTCGACACCTAGATTGTTGATTCCCCAGTTCAGCACACAACTAATGGTAAGAAAATCATATATCCATTTTATCCTTATGCAATAATTACGAACTAAAGATCTTTCTTGATATTTGCAGATATCAATGTTGAGAGCTTAGAACCAATTCAACCAGATATTATTGGTGCATCATCAGCCATTCCTTCTCTTCAGATAGAGGCTACCACAGAAAAGGTACTGGATCCACTTTCACCGTTCATTTTATTATAAACCGATACAAACCTCCTAATCAAGATCTTCTTATATATAGGCACACAATCTTCTAGCTCTGAGCTACTCTTTCAATCTTGAGGAGTATCTAGATGAAGATGAGATCAGCTCATCAACCACCTCCTATAAGGAAGCTTTGTCAGAAGAGACCAGAAATCGGCTAAGATATATTGCCAATGTTTGAGAAGAACATAGCCGATTTGGTCCAAGACACTGATTCAATGTAAAGAGTCTTCTTGGCTATTAAGGGTAACCCATCCCCAGTTCTCTCTAGAGTCTTGTCACCTTTATCTATTATTGAAGATTAGGCCCCAAAGGTGAAAAAGCTCAGAGGAACCTGTCCAACCGTGAAGTTTTATTGGCCAAGAGAAACTTCAACAGGCAAGAGGCTAAAGAGCTGACACAGTTGATTGATGATTTGAAGAACTCCTCCCTCAAGATCGATCCAGAGTTGTCCCAACTAGAAATCAAGCGTGCAGAACTTGAGAAGGAGCTGGAGAACATGAAGGCTGCCATCGATCGCCATAAGTCCAACCTG